TTCAGTAGTAAGCAATTATTATTTCAGAGAAATTCTTCTAATTATGGAAGAGTCCAACCATGAGAAACCCTGATTATCATTTCCAGAAAGGCTTTCATTCTCAGTAGACCACAAGTCTACCCACACACACCCCACTCCAGAAATTTAGTACAGGACTAACAATCAGAATCTAATCCTATGAACTGAGGACCTTCTTCCTGGTTCACCAGAACTGGACTAGTCTTTTGCCACTGACTCTCCCAGGCAGAACAATAGCAGGACCGTGGCATATCAGAGTGTTTTGCCAGCTTCTCTGTAATAAACCTCTGTGAAAATCTACTTATGAAATAAATGCCCCATATTTATATTTCTCAGTTTGTGATGCTGATCACAAGATAAAACTAGAATTGAATCCATTTCTCTTTCATATAAGCCTGAAATAGAGTAAGGTATTTTATTTTTTTATTGCAGACTTATCCCTCAAAAGATACTGCATTATATAGTAGTCCTTATGAGCCATCTATATTTCGAATGCCCTACATTATTTTCAACGACCATATGTTGTTTGGAGAAGACAAGTTTACCTGAAATAACTTCTATCAGTGGTAGTTTGTAAAGTTTGTATAGATTATCTGATGGAGGGGAGGGGAGGGAAGAGGCAAAGAAATTTGTTATATATCTAATCCTAGGGGTAAGAACTCGTGTTTTTACGTGTTAGATGCTATTGTGAATAATCCTTTTAAGCATTACTTTAAAAGAATAATTCAGAGAGTCTAGAAAAGACAATTTTGAAGAAATATAACTTAGGGAGAATTATAACCAGCTTTCAAGATGTATAAATTTATATTATTTCAGATAGTGTGGTAGTGTTGCAGGGGTATACAATGGAGGAGAAGATTACAACAACTTCACTATACAACTCATATTCTGTAGCCCAAAAAGTTATAGAGAATAGAGAAACCATGAAGGGAAGCAAACATATATGGAAATTTGACATATAACAGAGGTGGCACTACAAATTCCAGTGGAATTTGTAATTAATGTATTGTTAGAAAAATATTTCAATACTATTCATATGTTTAGTAAGAAAATAAGAAATTAAGCATCACAACATGTAATATAATTTGATAGTAGTGATTATGTCTCATTTACTTGTAAACAGACTTATGTTGGGGATAGAGACTGATCATTTTATTTAGATAGGAGTGCACTACCAAAATTTTAAGACCATTGTGTCAATAAATGTATTGTGGCAACTGGTTATTCATATGGAAAATAAAATAAAGTTATATTCCTGCCTCTCTACATCAAAAACAACACTTATAGACAGGTTAAGGACATTGATGTGAAAAACTTAAGCCTTTAGATGATTTTTTGTAGATTATCTGTATGATTTCAGGTAGAAAAGGATATAAAGGGAGACTATTGACATGTGTGATTATATAAAAATTAGAAAAAGACATCATAAGCAAGGTAAAAAGTCAAGACATAGACTACATGTAACTGACAAAGAATCAGTATGGAGTATATAGTAAGTTGTATGAATCACAAGAAAAAGGACAACCCAGTTGAAAATAGCTAATGAATATGAACAACCAATTCATGGAAGAGGACATCCCTCTGGCAGTCGGACATCCCTCTCGCAATCCGGGACTGCTGGCTCCTAACCGCTTGCCTGCCTGCCTTATCGCCCCTAACCCCTCTGCCTGCCTGCCTGATCACCCCTAACAACTCTGCCTGCTTGCCTGATCGCCCCTAACTGCTCGCTTGCCTGCCTGATCGTCCCTAACCGCCTCTGCCTGCCTGATTGCCTCTAACCACTCTGCCTGCCTGCCTTATGCCCCTAACTGCTTACCTGCCTGCCTGATTGCCCCTAACCACTGGCCTGCCTGCCTTATTGCCCCTAACCACTGGCCTGCCTGCCTGATCGCTCCTAACCACTCTGCCTGCCTGCCTGATTACTCCTAACCACCTCTGCCTTGACCCCCGCTGCTGCGACTTCGTCTGGAAGGACATCTGGAAGGTCGGTTGGCTGTTTGGTCTAATTAGCATATTATGCTTTTATTATTATAGATAATACTGTATTACCTAAAGATGCATACACATGAGTTACAAGTATGAAGATATCAAACAGTAATTTAGTAAAGTGATCTTTGAGGGAGAAATGAATCTAATGGGTTCAGGAAAGAACACAACAGAAGCTTCAAAATGTTTGTAATATCTTATTCTTTACAAAATATAATAACAATTTTAAAAATATAAAAAATAATCTGATATTAAAAATTGAGTGACAGAGACATCAGTGTTTATTTTAAAAATATTTTTAGTGGGCTTAATATATTTTCTAATAATGTAGCAAATTGTTATATTATGGAGAATCAAAAATAGTACCTATTATAGGGCAAATATTAAAACTTTTATATTATGTGAATGGGTATTTTTGGTTTAGGTGAGATTTACATTAATTCAAAAAGTGCTACAAATCAAACATCTTAGACAAAATGATGAACTCTAAAGAATAATTAGCAGCTCTACTGAAGCAAGGGCCCTGCTGCCAACGGTTCGTAAAATTAGTTTGAATAAAATGTTCATGAAACGCAATACTTCTAAATCAATAGATCTCTATATTTGTGTCTAATGAAACTAACATATTAATATGTTAAATACTGTATAATTAAACATTTGACTATTTCGTCTACATCCCCAGAAATTTAGGTATTAATTTTGGCCAGAACATGTTTGTATCTTTCAATGGGAAAAATGGGGGGGTTGTCCTATGGTCCAATTAGCCTAGGAAAGTCTCGGTTTACATCTGTTATCCCAATTTTAATTATTGATAGTGTTCCACCTCATTCTCGGCAGTGTCCTGGTTGGGTGACTAATTTTATGGTCACCCCATAAAAGGTGGTTCATTGGCTAATTATGCAAGGGAAAAAATATTCATAAGATTTCAGGAGAACTGGGCTTCAGGATGGCAACACAGGACCTTGGGAAAGTGATGGGAAAACAACAAAACTAAGCACAGAATGACTGGACAGAGATAACTAATTGCTCATATTTCTGACTATTTCCCATTCTGATCTCTGAGGATGGGGCTGTTTAGCTCTGAGTTAAACTCAGCCCTACAATGGAACCAGTTCTGCCCTTACGAGGAAGAAGAAAACTGAAGTCGATTAATACAGCTTTGCACTAAGGAGGTCTTGCTGGCGACGCTGCTCTGATGTTACTTTAGGCCACACCCCTAATGAAATCCTTCCCTTTCATCCCAGTTCTGACTTTTCTCTGAAGCTCTCTTCTTCTTGTAACTCTATTTCTTACGGTTTGTCTTGTTTCTGACTGGAACCCGAGTCTCTCTTCTAAATGAACCCCAGGTTATCCGTGACTATGTGTTTCATCATTTTACTTTGCCCATTTATAATCACTTTTCCATTATAACAGTAGGACGATTAAAACAAATGCAATCATGGAATGGAAGCTACCTCAAGAGATAGCACCCTTCCTCAAAGTGGAAAGCACTAGTTGAGACCACTTCCCCTTTTCCTTCTCCAATTACTCTTTCTGTGTCCTAAATATTGTAAATTCCTTTCTCCTTTTCCACTTACAAACTTTCTACTCATTCTTTGAGAATCTCCTCTCTGAAGCTTTTGCCTACTCCCTCAGATAGATTTAATTTTTTCCTTTTTTCTATTTGCTAGCAATGTGTGGTACTTCTCTTAAGTCACTTTTCTGTTGGATAATCATTTTATTATGGATCAGGCTGTACCACATTCAAGGGCAGCAGGGACAGAATTAAGCAGGTACTTAACACTAAAAAAATATTGGCACTTATACACTCTTTTCTAGAAGGTAACACCAACCATTCATAGTACATTAGCTGTGTTTAGGTGGAATATTGAATATATATTTAAAGTTATATTTAAACTGTGTTTTAGAAAATTTATAGCTACCACATGAAACTTGGAATTGCAGAAACATTGCTTAGGAAATAGCTAAGTGAAATAAATACTATATTAATAAAAAACGTTTTCAGGGGTGACTCCCCTCCCTGATATTCTCTATTAACTCATCCTGCTTACCTTTTTCCACATCATCTATTATCCTTTGACATATTTATATATTGCTCCTCCTCCCCTCTGCCCCTCTACCCCGAATGCAGGCACCACAAGGCCAGGGATTTGGTCCATTTGGTTTGCTGCTATACTCCAGAACTTAAAACAGTACCTGGTAAATATAAGGGCTCAACATACAGTTACATAAAGAGAATAGGGAGGGGTTGATGGGGAGTGAGAGGGATGGAGATTAATGTTCTGAATTCACAGACTCAGCTTTTGGTCTGGAAGGGGCTTTAGTGCTCTCATTTTTGGAGGCTGATGCCCAGAACAGGTTGGTGACTTACTCAAGGTCATGCAGGCAATAAATGCAGTGCCAAGACTCCAACTCATATTACACTTAATGTGTGTGCAATATATATACACACACATATGTATAGATATGTGTATATATGTATATATATATACACACACATCTATACATATGTGTATATATATATATTTTTTTAAAAAAATATATTTTATTGATTTTTTTCCAGGGAGTGGAAGGGAGAGGGATAGAGACATAGAATCGTCCATAATGAGAGAGGAACATCTTCTATTCGCTGCTTCCCGCACGCCCCCCACAGGGGATCAAGCCCGCAACCTGGGCACATGCCCTGACTGGGAATCAAACCAGTGGCCTCTTGGTTCCTGGCTTGATGTTCAAACTCTTAGCTACACCGGCCAGGCCATAACATATATTTATAAGCAATACAGACAAATAGAGGTTTATTACTTATCATAACAGACCTTAATATGCTGGGAATCTATACAGTTAATAGGATAGTATTGGTTACTTCATTCAGACAACAATAATCAAGATAGAAAAAGCAAAGAAAGAACAAAGATGAATGAGAAAATTCAAATTTTCTGACCCACATTTGTATAGGGTACATATCAGTATACTGTTGATGAAAACATCAACATTACCTCCAAGGACCATGCCGGCCTGACAGCACTTTCTAAGGCGACATGCTGGGCAGTTTTTCCTGCGGATTTTATCAACGATGCAGTCATTTCTTCCAGCACATAAATAATTATGCTGTCCTAAAATAGGAAAAGGTAAAAATTATTTACAATATCTAAAGAGCAATGGAAACTTTCTGCAATGACAACTGGAAAAGAAGATAAGTACACATCAGCAAGTGCATGGCTGTCTCAGCCAGCCTCTTGCTTAGCATCACTGAACATGGGTAATGCTCCATGCCTGCTCTGGACTTTACCTGTGCCTGCAGGAGCCTCACTGAGGTGAGCACAGCTTAGAAATACATTTCACGGCTCTTTAAAAATCTTTTCTTCAAGATTTGTGTATCATCAGAATGCCCTTAGACCTTTCTGGCATTTCAAGTTGCTGATAAGCATTAGTTATATAGAACAATCAAACTCTAGTAAACTCCCCCCCACCCATTTTTTTCTAAGATCTAAACATTCAAGGAAACAGATTCAGACTAAAAAAATAAATAAGTCTTTAGACTAATTTTGTATAAACCTATGTTTAATTCTATTGAAAAATCCTGGAGCTAGCTCACTTTTAAAGGGTCTAATGATTATGAATAGCGTGTAAAGAATGTCACTAATTGTAATGACTTGGTCACCTGGTTTATTTTGGCCAAAGTTTAGAAAACAAGGTGAATAGAAATAATAATAAAGGGAGAACAATTTAAAACAATGAGAAGTACTCAATGAAGGAGAGAACAGAAAAATTATAGAAGAAATATGGATATGTGACTCTGGGATCCTTTTATGTCAGGGAAACTATTTTAACCTCCAAAAGGTCCACAATATGAATTTAATATCCAACAATGATGATTTTCTAAATCAAGAACATGTGTTCTATTTAATGAGGCATGGAACAATCTAATTTAGATTGAACAAAAATGAAAAAAAAAACTTGTTAGCTTAGACATGTAAATATTAACTAACTGGAAAATTTACTTCTTTGGCACTCCTTATTTTCCGACAAATTCCTATAAAACAGACGTGAGTATTTTAATAACATTAGCTTACTTACACTTCTTAAATGTGAAAAATAAATTTTTAATATTAAGGGATTTTCCTATAGTATTTTATATTAGTTGACATTAAAATCAGATTCACTCTTCTGGCCAAAGTTTGTAGTAAAAGAACACGGAGGTACCTTAAACGTGTGCTTAATCAAGAGAGGGACAGGATATGCTCAAATGCAAAATGCAAAAGGACACGTCTATGAGACAGCCAATAACAAAATGGTTCTGGGTATGGGCATTTTTGGCAAAGAACAAGTGGTCTTTTCTTAAAAAGATATTCTTCCACGAAATTATGTTCACATATTACACACATACTATTTTATTCTCTATATTAGGAATCCTGAGCTGTGCTGAGAGACTTAAAGAGGCTGACAACTCCGGAATTACAAATTTTTAAGGGAACTTACAGAGAGAAGCAGTTTGGGGCAACAGCAAGATGGTACATCTCGCTGAAAAGCCCATGGGGCTTGTTGTAAAGAGCCAAGTGGCACGTGCTAACACAGGTGTTTGAGCCACATATTACGTACTTATTAAGAGCTGAATAAACCAAAGCAGTAAAGGACTTAATGGCCTCACTTACCAATGTAAAAATAATCCCTTTAGGTGATACAGACCCACCCCTTCCAGGGTGAACTGGCAGTCGGCTTGCTTTATAAGATGGCTTGGGTCATGTTAAGTACCAAGAATTCTTTCTTTCTCTCCCTCCCTCCCTCCCTCCTTCCTTCCTTCCTTCCTTCCTTCCTTCCTTCCTTCCTTCATCTATCTATTATCTATCTATATCTATCTATATCTATCTATCTATCTATCTATCTATCTATCTGTCATTCATCTAAACTGGTTTCTCACCACAGGAGAGAACAGAAAATAGGAAAACAATATTTTCCATCATATATAAAGAACAAACTTAAACAAACAGTGCTCATGGGTGTAATTATTGTTTGAAAGCATACTGTCCTATTCTCTGCCCCTAAGTCACACATACCCAGAAAAAGAGCCTGAAATCTCGACAGCTGGAATGCTGCAGACTTGTCTCATTTCTGCTTCTTAAATGATTTTTAACAGTACCTCCTTCTCCAATGCCTCAGAGAGAGAGTGCACCTTTACCAGGGCTCTTAGTTTCTGTACTCGAAACCATTCTTTCCTGCCTGCTTTCAAATCTTCCCCATCAATTTCCCCTATTCTCTTTGAAAATATTTCTGTCTCTCCCTGTGCAGTGATGTCCTCAAGTTTTTCATTCCAAAAATTCCAGCAGAGAAAAAGAGAGAGATAGAGAGAGAGAGAGAGACCGTGAGAGACGGTGAAAGGAGTTCTGTCTCATTCTAAATTCTCCTGGACTCTATCCCTCTCTTTGTCATCTAAGTTGTTGAAAAAGTCATCTTCATTTGACTTTCTAATTACCCAACCTTCTTTACTCCTCAGCATACTGTAATTTGGTTTATAAAGTGGCCACTCTTCACTGTCCTTGTAACATGGCTTAACATCATCAAAGGTTTCTTCATTCCTAAATACTGTGGATTTTTTCTTGACATTCCATATAACTTGCCACTGGCAGTTTCTCTCCCCACCTGACCCTTCCTTTTTTGGAGGGTTGAGGGGGAGGGAAGGACTCTTATGACTCTTCATCTGTCTTTCCAACAGTCCCTTCTAAGTTCCCTTTGCCAATCCTTTTCCTTTGCCTCTCCTTTATATGTTGTATTCCACTCTATACACTATGTGGGTAGTTTCATCATCTTCTCATGGCTCTAAAGTCTCATCCTGAGCTCTGACCATCTCTCTGCAGGTAGGTCAAATTCAGTATATACAAAAAAGATTGTAGCAATGATCTGGTTACATTTTTTATTTAATAAATTATATCAGAAGATTTTGTACCCAATTAAGGAAATTCAAAACAGAAAATTATCTACAATCTCATTAGCATGCCACTATTTTCGTTTTCATGTTTCCTTCCAATCTATCTGTACAGGGTACATAATCCTATTTTTTAATAATTGATAAGTGAATGTACAGTTTCACAAAATCCCATTCATTCAACAAGTATTTATTGTTTGTCAAATATGTCCCAACACTGTTTTTTTTTTAAATAATCCCTTTCATCTACTTGAAACGCCATTACAATTGCTGATACTGCCTATTGAAAATGCCCCGAAGTAAAGAATACCATAGCAGCAATAAATGCTGCATCCAGACTGTCATGTCTAACATTTTCATCTAAAAGACGCCAGGGTGGAGAGCAGAGTGGTGCAGCCGAAGCGTGCTGGGCCCATAAAAGATGCCAGGGTGGCCCTAACCGGTTTGGCTCAGGGGGTAGAGCGTTGGCCTGTGGACTGAAAGGTCCCAGGTTCGATTCCGGTCAAGAGCATGTACCTTGGTTGCAGGCACATCCCCAGTAGTGGGTGTGCAGGAAACAGCTGATCGATGTTTCTAACTCTCTATCCCTCTCTCTTCCTCTCTGTAAAAAATCAATAAAATATATTTTTTTAAAAATAAATAAAAGGAGCCAGGGTGTATGGTAACTGGGAACATGAGCCCCTTCCCATGCCCAACTCCTCCTTCACCCTGTGGAAATATAGTGAAGGCCACCTATAAGCGGACTGTGAGACCTCGGCAGTGACTCAGTCTAAGAAAGGCCAAAGAGGAACTGCTTCTAGATGTGAACTTGGATTGTAAATGGCCAGTGTTTTGATCTTACACAGCTTGCTCATGGGCAATCTGCCTCCCACCCCTCTACTGGCCCTGTTTTACTGTTTTCTGTACTCTATAAAACCTTGTCTTGGGAAAGTCTGGCCGGCAGCAAAACAATAGCACTGGCCAGCAGCCCCTAATGTCACCCATTAGCAGGCCAGATGAGACTTAGCCAGACAACTTCACTGACAGCAGCCAGTGCAGCATTAAACTTCACTGGTTGGCCACCACCAGACAGCACCTAAGTCCTAATCCTGAGGTTTTCTGGGACCTCAGCACTTTGCATAAGACAGGGCTCCTTGGGGACATGGCTGGGACTAGAAATGGACAAGTTGAGCTTGGGTTACTTTGTTGTGCTAGAATTTGGTGTTATTGAGAGCTTATAAAATTGTCTGAGACACACTGACCAAAGATAAGACAAATTTGAACATTAAAAATAATTTAGTTTAAGTGATTAAAACACACTGAGTATATAAAAAACCACAAGTACATATAATATGTAAGAAAAAAAAAGGAGAAACAGATTAAAAATGGCAGCAGAGTAGGAGGATGCTGCATGGTCATGCTCCCAGGAACAAGCTGGAATTACAACTGAAATACGAGAAGGCTTCCTGAATAATCAACGGAAAACTCACAGGAGAGAACCCTGATACCCAAGGACCGAAGGTGGAGCCGGAAGAGACTGGTAGGAGGGGCAGAGACGTGACCCACAGAGGGGAACTGAAGTCCCA